ATTCCTGCTATGCCCCATTCTCTCAGATTTGTGTGACCACTGATGACTGTAATTTACACACCAGCATATGTCCCCATACTCTTAATTCCAAGTTATTGAATTCTGAATTCTTCACAACTTTAGCACCTTATTTCATCTAAAGTAATGACATGCAAGTACGACGACACAAAATAAAATGTAACAGACTAAATACAGAACTTGATTTTTTGGAAAATGCCTATACACCACTTTCAGAGAGCTAGTATTGCAGGAGCCATAAATTACATTGTTGTTAAGATCTGATATATTCCTATACAGCTTTGTTAGAAAAATAGTAAGATATTGTATCATAATATAAAGGTATGTACTTTACACGTATTACTACATGCTAAATAAAATTTCAGAAATAGAAGTTTAATTAACGTGAACCAAATATGCCTAAATTTAGTTTCATTTCTACTGGATAGGCATAGAAGGACAAATTCTGCCAATGAGAAATCTGTTTATTAATTTAAAATGAACCAGTCACAGCTTGAGACTTGATACCTGTTGGCAAATGTGTTCCCATTGAACATTGAGCTCCTTCAGTTCTGCGTCTATTCTGGAAGCAAATTCTGGCTCAGCTTCACTCTTCATTTTCTTCCCAACCTCGTTAACACTGTTCAAACTGGGCTGGATTGTCTGGATATCATTTACTAAAGCCTAAAGGAATAGCAGAAGATTAGGCAAGCAACATTCACAAAAATTTTCAGATATACTATCTATCAAAACATGTTTACATGAGATTCTGTCATGTCTTTGGTCCAGATCTCAAGTCAAATGAGCACAGTTTACAGACTTAACTATGAAAATAAATAAAAAACGGAATGAGCAGCTGTAATGTGGTAAGCTATTCTATATCAGATAAAGTTCGTTTGCAAAACAGGTAACAGTTTTAAATGTTATGTATATACTATATACATATATGTGAATAGTGTTATATTATATATATTCTATCTATTACAATGCCTAGATCTTTTATTCCCATTTGTGCAAGAGCATCCCATCATAATGGTAGAAAATTGTTTGTGAATCCATCTTATTAACTATGCCAGCATTACCTATCCTTGGGTTGGTAATTCACCTGATAACTTCCTTAAAATGATCTGAATGGTAATATTCTCTCATTATGTCTAGTTATAAGAACGATATTTGTGGTTCAATATTATTTAAGCCTGGAGGTAGTTCTAAATTGCCACCTCCACTTTTATTTCCTAAGGCCTTCTTCAGTGCTGCAGATGTTACCTGGGCTTCCTACACAGTAGAAAAGGCTGGAAGTGTAAACATATAAAAAATGATAAAGATTTTGGTAGCTTTATTATACATTTGACAGTAGTGGCTAATATTTGTGCAAACTTTTCATAAATTCAAGTGACAGATTTTAAAGGAGTTACATGTAACTTACTACTCTGTAGAGGCAAGAACTGTCCTATCTAATTTATAATGTTTTTTTATTTAAATAAGGGGTAAGAAAGGAAGTCTGAGGAGCTCATAGTTCTGTAAGACCAACATGTATTTATGTTTCATAACATTTATACATCCTGCCAAAACATTTACAGAACTCGTAAATTCCACTGAACGTATAGACAGTGATTATCATGGGCTACAAGATTCACTGCACTTATACACTCTGTTGAGACAGGCAGAAGAATTTGTAAACCCTATGATAGAAGTATCAATACTTCATGATGTTTTAAAACTCTGCTGGGACAAAACACTGGAACTTGTAAGTTTAGTGAAGAAAAAAGGATATAACTCACAATACCTGCAAGTTCTTTCAGTACAGTCAGAAAAGCTTGTAAATCATGTGTGAATAAAAGATACAGAAAAAGATATTCCGGCACAGATCATACAGTTTATAACAAATACATAGGCAATGTTTGTAACTCCAGAAAGTAAATAAACATTTATCTTAAAAAGCTACTAACTTATTATTTGTTGCAAGTACCCTCTTTTATGTTTTGCTCCTGTTATAAATACATAATGATACAGTCACTTTATGCCTCATCTCTGTATTAAAGTTTCTCATTTTTTAACAGAATTTTCTTTCAAACCCAGGAAATGCAGAAGGTTCAAGTACTTTCTAGAAGACAACCCCCTTACCGCAAGGATTTATTTTAGGAACAGTCATAATTTGTGTAACTTCTGTATAAGCTAAGCTCATAGAGAAGAACTGAGTAATTGTCAAGCAGGCAGGTAACACTCACTGTACACTGCTCAAGTTGCTTTTCCAGTGCTTCTGAATCCCCAAGGGCAGGCCACTCTTCCTTCAGAAAAACATCCACTTCAGCCATCCACTTCTTCAGTGTTTTAGTGTCATTCTGTTTATTAAAAAGACATTTTGTTGCATTGCACAGAACCTGACTGTCAATAGCGTAATTCATCCTGGCGCTATGACTAAAACTCATCGCAATGTAATTTCAAGATTATTGAACTGTCTGAAAAATAAAAACACAGCAAACAAGCAAAACCAATTTTTTCTGGGACTCTGTAGCCTGCACTCTGACCATTTCTGCCCAAGTTTAATGTGTCTGCAAGCAGGCAACTTTCTGGCTCTCGAGTTAGTGCCTTCCAGATGTAATTTGTGTTTAGATGCTGCATGGGTTCCTTGTATGGCTTCAGACTACTGATACATGGCTATTAATTTAGGTTTACCTATCAAATCTTTCCATGCTTCAATTTAAATTTCAGGCTCCTTTTGGAAGTTGTGTGCTGTATTGCCTATTTCTCTACCAGAACACAATACAGAAAAACTCCCTTACTACTCAGAATGAAAAAAAAAAAAAAAAAAGGAACTGAAACAGTAATTGAAACAGTCACTTCAGAAACTAAGATCATATAATGACTCAATGAGTTATTTCAGAAACTGATTCTCAGTTACCGTTTCTAGCACTAGAGTATTTGTAATCAGTAATTTGCTTTCCATAGCCTTTAATTAACCCTTGCAATTAATAAAAAAAGTTGAACATCAAATGCTTGAAGAGTAGGAACGCTACCAGTCCCAAGCAACATCCCATAGATAATCTAATGCCTTGAAAGGTAGAATGAAATTTAAATAATGTCACTTAAAATTACCTTAACACGCCACCTAGGTAAACAATTAGATGCAGATGTTAAAATAAAAATTATAAATGGCAAAAATTTGAAAGGCAAACTATAAAGCATTTGTTCAGCAAACTGTTTTCATCAAGTGAAGTACATATTGGTATTATATGAGGAATGCAAAGTTGAATTAAAGCACAAAAAAGGACATTTCATTAGAATACCAACTGTGCCCTAAAATGTGTACAGAAATGCCTTAGCAACTATTATAAGATAGATAACCAAAGGGAACATTTTCCTAATGTGCTTGATGTATTGAATAACATCAGGCTACCATGGTGATTGAACTGAATTAATAAAAATAATCATACAGAAATTATCAGTATACTTCAGAATAGCAATTACCAAAACACTGTTTAAATGTCTACCGTGCATTCCATTATCAATCAGTAAAAATAGTTCAGAATCATATTTCATGATGAAATTTTAATACCTTTACAGGAATATTTTAAGTATAGTTCGTTAATACTGCAAAATATAGATCTGATGGGATTTACTTAAAAAGAGATCAGTCTCCAGGTACCAATGAGGATCAAATGTATGACTTGCATTTTGAATCAGACTGTAAATGCATTTTATTTATCAACACTCATTTCATCATATCCCGTGCTGATACATTCCATAAATGGCAACAGCTAAAATAATCTGGAAGATAAATCATTCAAGGAGTTGAAAAGATGATGACTTTTATATTCACTGTGTACTACAGTGACTTCAGCAATAAATATAAAGGCTAAGATTTGTATGCAACAATAGCTCATATAGCTTTAAAAATATGTGCTCTACGGAGCATGGTCATGATGTTCAGGACTTTCCCCTTTTAAGAGCAGTGGGGGAACCTCTAAACTTCTATCCAGAATATTAGGGTGGGGGATGGGGGTGGGAGGGAGGAGAGAGACAAAAGTTTGAATTTCTCAAGCAAAGTGTATTGCTCTGTTTTGAGCAATTATAAATATTTCATTATACTATCGATAAAAACACTTCCCAGTTTTCCTATTTATATTGGGATTAGGTGGCAAGATTTCAGTAGCAGGGGTGGCCTCTGTGAGAAGAGGTCAGGTGCTGCCCTGTGCTGGACACAACTGGTTTCAGCTTCTTCCGATGGACCCACCACAGGACACAGCTGACCCATGGTCAGTTAGTGATGCCTAGTGACAATAGAGTTAAGGGGGAAAATGCCCAATAGGGAGAGGAGGAGAGAAAAAAAAGTGAGAAACAGCCCTGCAAGACATCAAGGTGAGTGAAGAAGAAGAGGCGCTCCAGCTGCTAGAGCAGAGATTCCCCTGCAGCCCATGGTGAAGACCATGGTGACACAGGTTGTCTCCCTGCAGCCCACAGAGGTCCATGGTGGAGCAGTTATCCACATTGCAGCCCATGAAGGACCACACAATGGAGCAGTTCATGTGCCCTAAAGTAAACTGCAGGCCACGCAGAGTCCCACACAGGGGCAGATATTTCCTGAAGGACTGCAGCCCACGCTTCAGCAGGGGAAAAAAGCGAGGAAGACCGGGCAGCAGAGAGGAGCTGGCATGGACTGACCACAGCTCCTGTTCCCCACCCCCCTGCACCCTTTGGCGGGAGAAGATAGAGGAGAAAAGCAATGGAGCGCAGACTAGGAAAAAAAGGGAGGGGGGAGAGGTGGTGTTTTAATTTTTGTCTTTGTTTCTCACTACCCAAATCTATTTGAATTTTCCCCAAGTTGTTTCTGTTTTGCCCACGACTGTAACTGGTAAGCAATCTCTCTGTCTTTATCTCAATCCAAGCGCTTTTCCATCCTATTTTCTCCCCCTGTCCTGCTGAGGACAGGAAGTGAGAGAGCAGCTGGGGCATCTGGCTGCTGGCCAAGGTTAGCCCACCATACCATTAAACTTCATTTCATGGCCAGCTTCAAGCGTCAGAGATGTAGCTATGGAGCCAAAGTTACAATTTAGAGTAATGTGTCATTTCAGTAGCTAAATTATAAACGGTACTGACAAAATGTTTCCTCCTTTTTTTGGTCGGTCTTGCTTACCTAAAAACTGATGAAGAATAACAAAATAATGAGTACTTTTTTCTTATCTAAAAAGTTTTTTTCCTCTACAAAAGCAGAAGTGTAAGAATACTTTGACAGAAATTTTATTCCTGACCAGGCAACTCTATTGAATTAAGCTGAAAGTAACAATTACAGTTCACATGCTACTGTTTTATAATTCACAATATGGAGCTAATCATATATCACGTTTCACTAGTAGCAAACCAAAGCCAAGGACAGAAATATTTGATGTTGTAAACAGAAGAAATACAGAGAGACAACACTGAGAAGAAACACACTGTGAGAACACAGCTTTAAGTATGGTTGCAGGACCTCAACCTTCAGAATTTTCTTTGCAATATCCCCCATGAGTATGCAAGTGTTCATTTGTATGGGGGTGAGGAGAAAAACATAAAAATTCCTCTTAAACCTGTCCCTTGAAATTATACAGAAATGGAACAGGAATACATTAAAAATGGACTTATTTTAAATCTTATAACATCTAAGTCATAGACAGCCCTTGTAATGTTGATACATGTGATTTATAAATAAGTATAAATAGGAGAGCCTCACATGTAAGGTTCCAATGCTGACAGCCTAAATACCTGAAATTCACACAACTGTGTAAGTCATATGCACTTCTGCTTTCTGGCAGCTGCTGCCAAGATACTAGCCTATTACAAATGACTTTAATTATGTAAGTGAATTAATTAAAGTCAATATGGTTACAGCTATTTCAGTTGCATGAAAAAATACTTCAGCTACATTGAGAAAGTAAGTAAAGGAATATTAGTAGTAATTTCACTGAAATCAAAGTTAAGTTTTGCTGTTGAAACAACATAGGCAGAAACAGCCACAAAATCAGAATTCAAAGTAAAATCTTGGACCCACCAAAATCAAGCAAACATTTTAATGCATTTTATGTACTGTTTTTATATTTCACTTTGGTGTTAATTTCTTGAGGTGTATAAATCTGTTCTGTGTTAGTCCCACAGCCACAAGCCACCACATAGTAGTTGAGGCTGAAAAAGCTTGGTTAACCTGGAATCGCTGGAGTTTGGTCATAAGCTCCTCAAGTTTCTGGCAATGTTCCACCAGCTGTGCTGATAATTTCTTCCAGCGGCCAAGGATCACCTCAATCTCCGATCGATATCTTTGGCTGACTTCTGCAGGGGCTTTCCTGGACATGTCTTCCACAGTCGTGCTGAGATAGTTCAGGCCTTTTTGCTGCTCTTGCAGAGAACTTTGTAAAGCCTATGAATAAGAAGCAAATAGAACCCCAAATCACATGTTGGGCAATTCTCTTTGTTCCACAAACATAGGTGAGACTGCTGAAAAAAGGACTGAAAACAAAATGTAGGTCACCTTTACTAAAATATCCAATGACATATTCTACTGAGCAATTGAATTGTTTTTCTCACACAAACTAGAAAGTAGATTTTTTTTTAGTTGAACTGAGAATATAATCAGAGGTTTTTATGCTTGTTAATACAGGTGATTCACAGACACTTCATTAATTTGAGATAGGAACTTACTATGGCCCTAATGATTACACTTTCAAAAAAATCAGACTATACATGGAGAAAAAGAATAAATTTAGAACTGCTTCTACGATTTAAAGTTTTTGGTAACTTATTCTCAAAACTTTGGCAATTCTTAGCCCAAATTTGCTGCATCTAACTTTTTTTCTTCTCATGGTTTCAGCTGGGATGGGGTTGACTTTCTTACTAGCAGCTGGTGTAGTGCTGTGTTTTGGATTTGGGATGAGAATAGTGTTGGTAGCGCACTGGTGATTTTGGTTGCTGCTCAGCACTCAAGGCCTTTTCTGCTTCTCACTCTGCCCCGCCAGCGAGTAGTGCACAAAAAGCTGGGAGGGGACACAGCCAGGACAGCTGACCCCCAATTGGCCAAAGGGATATTCTATACCATATGACATCATGCCTAATATATAAAGCTGGGGGAAGAAGGAAGGAGACGACATTCAGAATGATGGCGTTTGTCTTCCCAAGTAACAGTTACATGTGATGGAGCCCTGCTTTCCTGGAGATAGCTGAACACCTTCCTGCCCATGGGAAACAGGGAATGAATTCCTTGGTTTCCTTTGTGTGTGTGTAGCTTTTGCTTTCCCTATTAAACTGTCTTTATCTCAACCTACAAGTTTTTTTCACTTACACTCTTCTGATTCTCTCCCCCATCCCACCAGGGGGGACTGAGCGAGCAGCTGCGTGGTGCTTGATTGCCATCTGGGGTTAAACCACAACACTTCTATATCCTGCTTTTTATTTCTGCATGTTCATTACCGGTTGCATCAAACATCATGCTCATTAGCCACCCAATAGCAGAACAATATCAAACATTGAAATGCAGGGAAGGTTTGTACCCACTGGCAAAACATGTTCCAAGTTTGTGTCTCCTTGTAAATCCAAGAGGAAATCTGACAAAGCTCATGCTGCATTTTTGCAAATCACAGTCATTTCCATGTCAGCACTGGAAAATGAAATGAGCTAAATCTATGCTTAACTACCAGAGCTATTGTCAAAAGAATATTTTATATGTCATGGGGACAAACAAAGGCTTTTCCTTAATATGTTCAATATCTTATATAATTGCTTTAAATGGTCAAGAACACTTTCAATCCTTTAACTTTAGGAATTGATATAAGTAAGTATTCACCATCTCCTAAAGGCCTTCACTAAAACCCAGATGGGTATAATTCACTCAAGATCTGTAGTCTAGGCTTCAGCAGACTCATGACAATTTTGCATTCTGTTCTTCTAAACTATTTGTTTGAGACATTTGTTCCCACAGCCTGACCACTCACCTTGAGCTCCCTGAGTCTCTGCTCCATGATTTCATACTCAGCAACCGCAACCTGAGGCATGGAGAGTTTAGCTTCTGACTGCTGGATCCACACGAGTACAGTGCTCATTGTCTCTTTGTAGTGTGCAGGAGGCAAACTGTCAAAAACTACATTCAATGGGGAAGAAAAAGGAAAGAAATAAAATAATTTTGTGCTTCATTATTTGGTCTGCTGACAGATGTTTGTTAAAAGACCGAGCCTAATTGAAGTCAATGGCTATTTTGCAACAGATTGCAAGCAGCCCAGTATGTGAGGATCAGATTTGTCCAAGAATTGTCCAAAACCTTTAAAGAATGAATACACTTATTCTAATGCTTATGATACCTCTGTCATTTTATCAGTTGTGTGTTGTTTGACTTTCTTGCTATAGGTCACAGGACAACTTACACAGCCAAGACAACTAGTTTAAATATGTGTGTTTAGAGATCAACAGACAAACCATTGTACTTAACCCAAAATCTAATTTCAGAAATACAATAAGAAATAGCATTCCCTTTTATGGCCCATGTTTGTGTGTTTAATGTTTCTGTTCAAGTAAAATGTTCTGTTTAAGACATCTGTTAAAAGCTTAGAAAATTAATCTTTCTTCTGCATTAAAGCTGAATTTTATTGAGCTGTGCTTATTGTGCCAAAATTACAGCTGCTGTAAATAGACAGCATCTGGCACACACACGAGCAACTCATTAGCAGAGATACTCCCTCTGCCCTCAACAACAGTTGCTTCTACACTCATTGAGAAAAGTACAGACAAATGCATGGCTGGCTGGAAATGAAACATTTCCAACTTGTACCACATAATAATGAAGTATATAAAAGGTCAAAAAAAAAGTTACACCTATTTGTACATCTTGTGTGCCTCTGGTGTTTCAGGAAGAATTGTACTGAAAGATGATATAGCTGTCCAAAAAGCAATTTTGACAAACAACACAGCGTTTAAGTACAAGCTCACTTACACTCTCATACAGCAATGCTTGGAAGAATGTACTTTAGAACTTAACCTAATTTTTTAGTTGATCAACAGAATGCTACTTGAAAAAACCTTACATTTTCAGTTAGGTATCATAACAACCTACTAAAATTGGGGGAATTTAAGCTTTCTTTTATGGATTATGCAGGTTGTATGGCATGCTTTCCTCATAAAAATCTTGGCTGATCTGATTTATCACACACATCTGGGATTTCACAAAAGATAGGATTTGGTACTAGGAAAGACAAGAATTTCTTCCCTTGTGACATATTTTCTTTATGCAGAAAGCAACAGTAATACACTATTGGAAACAGAATTTTCCATCTCGTCAAATAGCATTTTAAATCTTTTTATTTTCTTAGTGAGATTTGTACTGTCTTTGAGTCATTTAATCCAGACAATTCCTACTTTAGAATAGAACATGCATTTAAACACATCACACCAAATGAATTTTAACAGCTCAAATATGTTAAAGGCGTACACAACTTAATTTAGAAATAGCTTTATTTAGAAATATGAAATGAAGTTCAGTATTGTGATTTAATGTTTGACCTTGATAATTATTTTTCCCCTTTAAACGAAAAACAAATCTTAGGACTAATGTATGACTTCAAGCAGCTATATAAAATAATAACTAATTTCAGTAGTAGTGAAGAGTACCACAGAACAGTTAAAATGACAAGATTTGCTGTAACAGCAACTCCACCAAACTGCCTGAAAGTTTGCCAATGATAATAATAATCTTAAAATGTTGTGGGTTTTTTTTCCAATTTTAACAATTTTTGTTCTCTACTATTTGAAGGATTGAATAAGAGTTCAAGTGGGATCACAGATGTTGATATAATCAGGCTAGTGGCTTTCCAATTTGGCTAATAAATATTCAATTTAAAAAGCACTTTTAAGTTCAGTGAAATAATAGTTTTCCTACTTCACTTTTCCAGACTACAAGTTGTGAGAAACTACTTTTCAATGCCTTTTGCCTAGATAAGAGGTTTTGGGCCTTGTTTTTTGGGGGTTTTGTTTTGTCTTTTTTTTTTTTTTTTCTTTTCCGGGGGGGGGCGGGTTTGTGGGTTTTTTATTTTTTTTTTTTTTTTAAGATAGATAATATGTCAGCCTTTTCATCCACAAGGAAGCACATTAACATCTTTTCGGATGACACTTAAGAAGAACCTATATTGTTTTTGCAATTTATGATGTCAGTGGTGAGAATTCAGTCAAACTCCTCCAGTGGGATTCACGTTACCTAATTTTAGCTGTATAAATAATCTAACACATTTACGGTCTCTCTGTGGGTGGTATGAATCTGTACATTCCCCATGCTGATAACACAGACACACATCCAGACCTATTTATTTTTATCATAAAATATGCTATACCAACTAATATTTGTGGATTAAAGTCCACAAGATAAGCACAGTGCATTAACATGGACTCTGCTATATTATATGAAAAATCGAACTGGTAGTCAGAAAGATATAGCATGTCTGCAACCTAAGCTGTAGCCCATGAGAGAACTGTAACAAAATATCACAGAGGGAAAATACAAATGCGTTACTGGGAAATATCAGAATACAGTTCCCATCCCATAATAGGAAACTGTTGTTGCATTAATCTAGTACACTTGTAGGGAATGCATTTTGGTGTGATTAACACTGTAACCCTTGAGAACTGTCAGGGAAATACATTTACACTTGCATATTTATTTTAAAGAAAGTGCTTAAATTAGGAACTACAATGTGCAGATAGATATTTGGCTAGGAATATTTAAACATGTGAAAATAGCTTTCCAAATAAGTAAAATACCTTTTTTTTTTTGCCTCAGCTTCCTTTTTTTGCGACCAGATTTTCCAGTCAAAAATATTTTCCCAAATGAGAATACAATTATCTCAACAACTATCAAATCGCACTGGATATGATGCAATGTGTATCTCCCACAGTCAGGACAAATCCCTCTGTTCATCACATCATTGTCAAAGAAGAAAGGCAACACATATAATCTATAGGATCATTTCAGTAAAGACTTATTCCCTGAAATGAATGAACTGGATTGAATGTATTTCCCTTAAAAATCTCCTCAGCAGTAACTGCACTGTTTAAAACCACGCTAAATTTCTCACAACTTTGTTTTGCTTATTTTGTAATACAGGAAGTTGAAGCTATTAATCGAAGTCTTTATGATGACTTCATAAAAGATGTGATTCCCTTCTCCCACATCTTCCACCAGAAACTCTCAAAGTGGAATCATAAGGAATTTTGTATAATACATAATCCATATTCTGCAAGTGCTTTAACACTTCCAATTCTCTTATTTATTAACGTCTTAAAAGAAATAGAAGGGAAGCCCTTCTCCAGTTCTACAAGATCTAAGGTAACATTAAATATCTTTAAAATATACAAAATTTTAAGTGGTTTTATTTCCTATAATCAAAATTTTTCATTTTTATAACAGAGGAAAAGTATAAAGTGAGCTATAGGGTAGAGGACATTATCTCATATGCATTCATTTCACATGTTGCTTTGTCCTTTCACTCTTTATTTAAGTAAATAAAAAAATACCGGATGAAATGGATGCAAAAGAAAAATGGAATTACTTGCATGTTACTTATTAAAATAATATTTTCTCACACACATGGGAGAAGTACCTTCAGCAAAAAAGGCACATTCAGAGAAAGTTAAACAAAATTTATTCCTCAAAACCAAACAGCATTGAGTATTATTGCTACTAAATCATCGTTCAGGTCTTAAGAAAACTTACAGTTATAAAATTTACAAGACGCTTAATATTTTTCTTTCTCAAGTATGGAATGATCGGTGAAAGATTATTATAAATATCACAACAATTTCACTGTTGCTTATAACCCATCTTAAGGTACTTAGAGCATTAAAGTAAGGTCAAAGTTTAAGAAAAAGCAGACAAATAACAGACTAAAACTCCAAATAGTCATCATACTATTATGGCTACTATGGTTTGATGTCTTACACAATTCTACCAAGACTGAGTTGCATGAACTCTATGTAATGCAACCCTCTTTAAGATACTGTACAAGTAGATTAGGGAGAGAAGTGGTGTACACGCAAAATAACTGCAAGCATGCAGTGGGTAAATGAAAAGTCTAAAGAATCTTGACATGATATAGACGACAGAAACCTTCTAAAGGCCTTCTTGGAATAAACATGAGAAACAGCAATTCAATGCAGATTAATGTTTCACCATCAATAATAATAATAAAAACAACGACAATGACTTCACCTTTGGGAATTACTGATCCTAAAAAGGTAAAATCAGAATTTAAAAGGAAAGCATAGTGCATGAATTTATGTAGTGAAGAAAAATGGAAATAAGTATGACTTTGCCATTTCTGTCTTTATATTCTTAATTTCACTTGCCACAAAAACTTTTTTTTTTTCAGTTACTTTTGAAAAAAAAAAAAAAAATATCTAATGACACTCCCCAAACCTCCTCTGAAGAACAGTCTTGTCAAACACAGAACATATATCAGAACACGTCTCACTGAAGACCACAGCTGGGTAAGAGTTCCCTGCAGCAAGACTGAAAACTAGAAGCAACTTAATGGAGTTTGGTCCAGTCACAGAGCAAGATGAGTACTGGAATGAATCAGCTGCTACCTGGGAAGTAGTTTGAGCCAGGGAGTACTCACCTGACACTGACCTGCAGCTCTCCCTGCACTGAGAGGGAATGGGAGGCTGACCAAGCTGCTTCTGAGAAATCTCTCTGACACAAAAGCAGTTAATTTCGAGAAAAGTAAATATAAAGTTCAACCCTTCATTCTTCACCAGAAAAATTATAAAACTAAGCATTTTCTTGAGAAATCACATTATTCATATTTGAATTATTGCCATGATTGTCCATTTCACTCCCTTGTGTACATTCCTGAACAGTTTGAAGCACTGTCTGACCTCTATTTTTTCTATATACCAGTATTCTAGAATTGAGTAAATGTGTTTGGGGAAGAGGGAGAGATGGAAAGATGGATACTCAGTCTTCAAAAGGATCAATTACCTATGGATATAAATACATTCTATAAAGTAAGAAAAATAAGGTGATATTCCCTCATATTTTATGAGGTTGTATTTCTTTCATAAAAAACATTGTAAAACAGTAAAAAACCCCAAACAAATGGGGTTTAGAATTGGCTTTAATTTAGGTTTTATAACTAGAAAGGCTAATCAAATCATGGAGGAAAAAAACTGAGAAAATCTCAGTTAATCTTTAATAATACTTTATTAAGAAATCTAGTAGTTTCTCTGTGCTGCACAGTAAGCAATCTTGAACCTAAAACCTCACCAGAACAAAACCACCAACAATCTCAAAAAACCCACCCAAATCCAACCAAATAAAAAATATTTGAGGGATACAATCTCCTAGAACAAGAAAATTTTTTTTCTCGGGAAAATAGTGCCTTGGAAAACAGAAGAGAATAGCTAAATGCTAAATCGCTAAATGATCTTATCCATCAGAAAAGATAATGGAGTCATGGAACAATAAAAAAAAAAACCCCACAACACAAAACCCCAAACCCTTAATGATGAACCAAAAATCTTTTTAACATAAAAAAAGCCCCTAATGATGAATAAAAGAAATAATAAAACCTTTCTAGTACATGTAGGTGATATGTACAGGGAAGAAAAAAGGAAAAAATACTACCACTGATCTGCAAAACATCATTCAGTCTTTAAGAAATTTTTCTACCTATAGAAAACAAATAATTGCAAATAATTTATGCAAAGATGGAAATATCTAAAATGCTTTAACAAAGTTTCAACATTTCTATTAAACTAAGGCTAAAATAAAGCAGGGGATATTGCCTTTTCTCCATCTGTTCAACATGAGAAAAATAGTCATTGAAGAAAACACAAGAAACTCAGACTCAAAGAGCCAAATTTTTTGTGCTTCAGCTTTGGTTGCATTTGTTTGTTTGTTTGTTTGTTCCCCCCCACCCCCCCTTTTTTGATTCATAAGACATTCCTGAAATAGGATTAGACCTAATGCAGTATCCCAACCATGATCATTCATACCTACACCAGAGTTCAGACAAAACTGTGTATCAAATTTCTGAAGACAATATACGCCTGACATAATAATCTTACCTAAAATATCACTACAGGTATGTACTGTATGGGAGAAAACAGTCTTATCTTGACAGATGAACCGTTTGAGACGAAGCGCCTGTGATGCAGAGCAGCCACATAAAATAATAACAACAGACCAGGGCTCAATAACGTACTAATTCAGGGACTTCTGTTCTCCAGCAGTTTAGGAGACTCTCCCCAGCCTGTTCCACATTGCCACCTCAGACAGTTGCTTCTGCAGCTGGCCAGGACTCTGGACGAGCATACTGCAGCACAGGAGTGGGAATGAACAGCCAGGAAGAACTTCCCCAAAGCCCCTGCTTGGTGGCATTACAGTTCAGGCAATGAACACTACTCATCTTACAGGACTAACCAACTGGTTCGTTCACAAGGTCTCCTTATAGTAAAATTAGGTGAGGCAAACTCAGCAATTACGCAAAACTGGATATAGAAGAAATCATAAAGAAGCTAGCATTTGTCATATTTTCCTGTTGGCAGAGTGCTAACTGATTTCAGCACATAAACCAATGTGGCATTAAAAGTTTTAAAATCTTATCCATCATATGGCCTGACTTTGGTGTCATGGATAAACTTTACACTTCTTGACACTAAATTTCTACAGCTCATTCTTTCACCACATGCTATGGCACAATTGCATTTTATCTCTTTAGTTCTCCTATGCACCATCACCTCTTTGGTTTGCGTGAGTGCACCTGTGTGAAATAACCAGAGCAGCACAATAAATGCAGTGTTGTTGAAAAAACACCCCATCTTTAAAAATGGAATCATGCCAATCTTCTCCATGAAAGAATTTAGGAGGAATACTACAAAGATCCACTAGAAGGAGCTAGCACTATGTCTAATTTCAAACCACTACAGTCATTTACAGAGACCATTGGTTTAGGGGGCAAATAATCCCTTTGCTCTTGAGAAAAATTAATTTTATATTTTTATCTGATACTTTATTTTAAATTTCATAATCAAATTCAGAAAGTGTACAGTAGTCACGTTACATACCTGTAATAAGAAAGTTAGCTTTCTATTTTGGTATAGCATTTTCCCCCTTTTGAAAAATGCATTTTATTACAAATATTGTAAATAATGTTATAACTAGCAGTCATATATTCTGTGTTGCACAAAAGGAACGGTTCACCAGATGATGAAAAACTAGATACCCTAAAGTAGCTACTCTCTTTGATAAGTTTATGGAGTTAAATTTCTATTCTACGAAAATCTAGAGCGGATTCACTCCTGCAATTAAAAATCTCTCTCCTCTCTACTGACAGAGGTATACAGCCCTTTCTCATAACCTGACTAAACAAAGAGAGCTTTATGTTGCCAAAAAATATCACTGAATCTGTCCATAAATGCGCTAACAAGAGGAGATCTGACAGTAGAACTACATTGAGTATAACCTCTGCTTCTGAATAGTGTACCTTCCTTGTTTTCTCATTACTATATAATATATATAACACACTGATAATTTCTGAAAGACTAATTTAATTGCAAAAAAGACCACCTAAATTGTACTACTGGTTTAGCGCGACAACAGCAAACACAAAAGTAGGGAAGCAAAATATATACACCTATTACTTATATTACACCTATGACACATGCTAGTCAGGCAAACTGACTTCTTGTCATGAACACTTACTGGTCTGTAGCTGCTTTTCTCTGGTCTGCATGTCAGCAAGTATTTGTTTGAAATGGCTGGTAAAAGCAGCAAGGTCAGCGTCCAGGAACAGTGGCCCTTGTTCTTTCTCTTTGAGCGCTTGACTTTGAGCCTTTAGCCGTTCAATTTGAGGCTGAAGGGTTGACATTCGGATGATTTCATCCTGCATTTTTGAACAACAAAAAAATCAAGATAAAGCTGTTCAACCAATGAAATCACTAGTTCCGTGAAATCACTACTGTTTCAATGCACATTACACAACTGGTTTGCTTGCAACTACACCAGTTACAATAAGTAAAAACTCAATATTTTTAATAATTTCTCACAAATCAATACGTCTACTCCCCATACGAAGTTCTTACCATTGTTTAAAGTCCCTTTCACATGATGTTATCATGTTAGTAGTGTAACGCTCAAAGAAAATGAGATAGATTGTACATTAAAATTCCATGCCTGAGGAGCATGCTTTTCATGTGGAGCTGGGAAAAGAAAAACTCTACATGTCCCATAATCCTGGACTCATCTCTGACAGATTATATCCAGGCTAAATAGCATGAAATAGAAAAGGAGAGGTGAAGACACACAGGGATTTCTAGCAGCCCCACAGTCACACATTACAACTTGGGCTGTACTATTATAGCTTCAGGAAACCTTGTACGCAGTGTGGAACTTGCAACTGCTAAGTAAAAAGAAATGAGGAAAGTAAGCCAAATATACAGTTCATAATAGAGCTACTGTAAGAGAAGCTTTCTGCAAGAAAAAAAGAGAACCCCTGTAAGCACAAAGCCAGCTTGGAAATGCCTGAAAACAGAAGTAACAGCATAGATCTAAATTTGGATTTCAACCACTGTTTTCAGTTTGAGAGCTGTTGGAGCCAGAGATTGCATAAAGTCAAACTTCTACAAGTATGTCATGCAGTTTATAATTCATTCCTGTCAAACAATATTAGCTTGTAAGTGATCTCCACCCACAGAGTTGTCTACAGTAAGAGTTAAGCCAATTTCTATGATAGTGCAGCACATAAATGAAAACATTTAGGGGACTGGTGCGACCGTTTTTGTACGACTATTGTACATGTGATGACAGAAGAATATTCCTCCATACTCCACACAATCCATACTGCATCAAAATGCAGGGTATGTAACAAGTAAAGTGGTCTGCAATGGCAGAATTTTGGAGATGACCATGAAGACAGTTTTCTGACCCAGATCCTTATGACAGAGGTGATAAGCAACAGTTTCTTAATGAAGAACCAAAGACACAGATTCTTACAGGAAAAATAAAGGGAAAAGAGTTTTGGGGCATAGTTCCCTATCTTTAGCTATCCAAGCAACTTAATAACTTAATATTTGGGACAGAGGTTTTAATACCCATATGCTAGGTTTTATTGCCTCTATTTCTTTACCAGTCTTTCCTTGAATATTTTCAATAATTATGTTGGAAAGGTGAGGAGTCCGTTTTCCACTTTTATATTGAAATCACGTAGGTCATAATCTGGCCCCTTGTTGGAACATCTATGAAGCACAATATCACAAAAAACTTGGAGAAGAATCTCTAACCTTGCATTTTTCCAACTGAGTTTTTACTGTAGCAGGATCTGTTGCTGGTGTGGGTTGTGCTTTCAGCCAGTTTTCTGCAATAATTGCTGTCTGCTCCAGTTGCTGCAGCTGGGAGTAGAAGTCAATGATGTTATTTTGGTACTCCAGCCATGCCAGTCTTTCACTCAGCAACTGACAGAACTCAATCCAGCGACTCTTCAGCTGCTCTGAGGCTTGTCTAATGTTGTCAGCATTCAGACCCTCTAGAAAGAAAACAAGAGAAGTTCAACACTTAAAGATAAGTAAGTCACAAAGAAAGGAAAGGAAAAAAAGTAAAAGAATTTAACAATTCAAATTCTGTATTTGAGAGCTCATAAATCCAGTTAATGATTTATCATCAAATATCAGTCCTGAACATACAGATGTTACACATTAGTGGAGAAAGCATTTAAAAAATATTTTAAGTTGCTGCCAAGGTACTTTTGTTGCTATGGGAATCAATTATAAAGTGCATTAAAGTACAAGAATGGGAATAGAGCAGAAAGTAGAGATACAATACATATAGCTAATTAAAACTGCTGTAAGAAATAAGAAAATGCCTGACAGCTGGATTTTGAAAACTATGTCTGGACTGTAATTAGATTTTAATGTACAAGATGGGGTTGTGGGGATTTTTTTGTAAAAAGACCACTTTAAATGAGTGGGAACTATTCCGCAGTTATTTTGATGTTTCTGATAAACCAACCCTTAAATTTTGCATTACATGTTATTTTAGAAATATCATAAGCACTGAGGAATAAATGTATGATCAGATCAAACCTCCATCTAGGCCAGTCCCGTGTGTCCAACAGTGACCAACAGTAGACATTAAGCAACGATTGAGAGCTGAGAAACCATAGATGACACTTCTCTATGATTACTTTCAGACAGGGTTTGGTTTCTCTATATAGTTTGCCTATTTCTGTCTATTGTTCAATAATCATGCTGAAATTAAAGTCCATAAAAGAAAGCTGACTTTAGTTATTTGAGACAAGGCAATTATTTAGAAGCATTTAAAGGTAAAAGACCTCTATATACTCTATGAAGAAAGTAAGGCAATACATATAAAAGATAAGCAAAGGGGTCTTACAATAACATCATTTATAATTGTTCTGAAACTTGAACTCAGGTTGAGTTCCAAATAATATTAACATAAGCATCTCATTTATTTTTCAGAGGAAGTTTAAATGTAATCCCTAACCTTTTTTACTGGCGTGACATATAATGATACACATAGCAATAGGACTGATATTGATTTCAAAACTAATAAACTTCTCAATCCAATGAGTAATGCTATATGATTAAGAAAATTTTTAATAACATCATCACTTAGTCATTGGCTAGTTAAAAACATAGCTTCTGTTTCACTGGTTATCAAAATAGTGAAATTTCGAGTGTTTAAAAGGAAATGAGATGAAAGCCTTCAGTGCTATTCCTCCATGATTTTTGATACGCCGTCAATATGGTTGATCTTGTTTGCAACCTGTAGTCCCAATCTGCAGGAAAATTTATTTATCAGGGATAAAAAATAGTAAAGTTAACGTGCAATTGTTGAAGGTAGGACATAGGAAGTGGAGTCCTAATTACAGTTAAATGTCTTAAATAAAAAGACTACTAGAAATGTATTATAATAAAATTTTCTAAGGAATGAGTATAATGCATGTTATATGGCAAACCTAAATGATAATCTGGGATCATGTCTGCTGTAGTTCTCTGGCCAATCCCATTCTAGATTCAGCTCAGGGCTATTCCATTCAGAGATGCTTGGAAACAGCCCACTTGGAAACAAACTGCGCAGTACCTGATAGTGGTTCCTTGGACATGCTTTGTTTACAGGATATTGCCCTCACCAAAAATTGTACAGGATTTCAAAAAGTACAAGCACAAATGTAGAAAGATAGGAAGCCCGGTACTACTGGGAGATAATGGCAACTGTGGTGGTTGGAACAGCTATACATACACATTATACTCCGGAAATTAGGGGGCAGAGTTTAAAGGCTGAGCAAGGGTATAAAATGAGCATTAAAGTATAAATGCGTGACACATCCTAATAAAATCTAATAGTGATCTGTTTTTTTTGTGTACATGTGTTTGCATCTGTAGATATCGTATGCATAACTACATTTTCTTAAAGTGTGATGTCTAATGAACATATAGTAATATGTGAAGAGGCAGCATAAACCTGAATGGCATAGCATGTCTGAATAACAACAATCAAAGCTGACCAGGTACATAGATACTGAATCTTAACAATAGCAAGAAAAAACACATATATAGAAGATAAGCCTTTAACTATGCTATATTTCAAGAATTGCTTCAGTCCTGTTGTGACTTTGGTTATAAAAATGCTGTATACTCATAACAGACAGCAGATATCTTTGCCGCTCTGTTCTCTGAACCTGAAAGACACTGCCTGTGAGTTTGGCAGAGTAGCTATGAAAAGATCACTTTTATTTATTCCTCCTTTCCTCTCTTTTCAGCTGCCACAGTCGCCAAAGTACCCTTAGGCAAGATTATGATTACCAGGGGAAGTACAGTCATGGATTCTCCTTACATAATAATACTTTTCACTGTAATATTTTCTTCAAAGATTTAGAGAGGACTGTATTTCGGATGAAAATCTAGATCCATCAGATCCTCTTTTCTTCTTTTCATTCATATGTCCCTTTTAATATAAGATTTAAATATCTACTGATACCTAATATTATTCAACTTTCCTTAAATCTTTTCTTTATTATCTAAACTTTGAGTCTAAATGTGATTCCAGAAGTGCAAAGATGAACAAAAAAAATGCTTTTGGTCTTTGTGCAACTGAAGTGGACAGTATGAGACCGGAGTATGCAGAGCCATGTTTGGTAAAAGACTGCAGAGGTGCACCTCCATTAGGCAACATAGTACTTTACTGAAAGAAAAACCCATCTGAAAGTCTCCATATGATGCATTTTTTAAATTCTTGATTAACAGTCCACTCGGGTAACTCGAAGTTGTCCATCAGATGTCAGTATGTCATTTCCAGATGGATGCAAGAAAAAGCCATTACCTGCACTTGAAATCATTTGGGCAAATTTGTCAAAATATTTCTTATTTTGAAGAAAGCTAGTCCTCCATCAAATTGAAAATTAACTATTTAAGTAGCTGATGCAATGAGGACATAATTTTAATGGTTTTATTTGCCCATTAAATTGGTGAAATTCAAGAATTTGTAACTTACTTCCACGGTAAGTACTGATTTCTTCATTATCTTTAGCAACTTTAGCAACCAGCAGCTTTCATTCATGATGTTGATATCAATCCCCTTACTCTGCTTCACTCAAGGCAGCAAGATATACCAAAAGTTGACAAGCAGGCAAAGAAACAATATAAAAGCCATTCTCTGGTAAAACAATATTATTTTAGGAATAATGGTTCATAATCTTTTCATGTTTCATATTCTAAAAGCTTCTGATAAAATCAGTGAATAAATACACTGTACCCAGAGGAAACAGATCATTATCTGAAGTGAATCCATTAATTTTATTTCCTTGTGTACTGCACATAACAAATTGTGTCTGAATAGTTTTAATTGTGCAGCACCTTACACGCAAGTACTTTGGAACTGCCACTTAATATGAAGTATATCTTATTAAGTGCATTTATCATTTTCTATGGTTCCATGATGCAATAATGTAATATTATCCACGTTTTTATAGCTTTTGACTCATAAGTGGATGTGAAATGGTAACTCACAAGATAATGTATTTCTTCCACAGAACAGTGGCACTTAACAATTACATGATTTATCACAACAAATTCATTTGTATTCACTTTAATGCTGCCTACCAAAATTCTGAGTACTCATTTTGATGCCCTATATATTTTATTCTAAACTACTATAATAGTCAAGTGGCTGCTTAACATGCTAAACTGCTTCACTCGTGCATCAACAGATTTGTTATTCTATTTTAGAATACGATTTAGAAAAGAAAAGCAGAATAGAATTGTTTCCTAGAAACACTCATACACAGAAGATGTAAGTTTTCTTTGATTGTAATCATCAGACTTCTTTAAAAGCAAGGGCAAGGAGAGACAGAGCACGGCCCATGTAGAATATAGGTGGATGGGTAAAGAATCATCCAGCAAAAGCATCAATGATTTCCCCTGTGATGGTAAAAGTCCTTCGAATGGCAATATTCAGACACATTGCTTATGAACACAAGAACAGCTGCACTGTGTGACATGGCAGCTCTTTCCAGTGCAAAATACTTTTGCTAATGATGGCTGAAAGCATTTACATAAGGCAATAATAGTGTCCTGTATAAATATGCTTCCTCAGAATATTTTCCTCTGTGCTAAGGAACAAATAAATGAAACTAAATAAACCAATCCAATTCTCTCCAGAATTTGAATCCTATTTTTTATTCCCCCTCCTATCACAGTAAAAACAAAAGCAAGAAAATAAATATAAATGATCTGACATTACACTCAGCACCATTCTGAGCTCTCCCTTAGAATCCACCAGAGGTCTTCATTTTTTTATGCTCTTCACCTCTAACATTCAGAATCTTGTCTAAAAGCAAAGAGGAAGCACATCTTACATATAAGTAAAGCCAAAAATTTAGTGATAGCATAATTGGAATCTTCCGTGTTATCATTATTAGTCCAGATAAAATTGATACACAATAAGGAAAAAAATAACAATGCAGTTACAATTGCCATTGCTTCACTTCACAACTGATCTATGCCTTAAATCTCTTTGCCTTATGTAGTCTTTTAATTACAGATTACGGTGCAAATGCATTACAATCATCAATTGCACCACTGACTGATTTCCCTAAAGAAAGTACCACGCAGAATACAGATGGGAGTATCATCATTTCTGATTTGTAGGTTGTGGTAGTTAAGAAGGTTTTCATTCAAGATAACATAGTACATCTATACTCCACTAGATATTCAATTGCTTGTCTCCCACAAATCCATAAAGTCACATCAATTCCAGTTCCTTCCCATGTTATGGAAGAGTTCCAGCATTAGAAGGGGAGGTAATGTAGGCATAGTCACTTTGCCCTGTTGAACCTTATTTTGGAGGTTCAGCAAAACTTTCCTATGCTATATCCTTTCCTCTTGTTCTTAGTGAATCCAGAAATCAACCAAAATAAATACTAAGAGATGCAGACTGTATGTCCCAAATTCATTTCCATAAGCCACACAAGGACTAAAGTAACTGGGTTGAATTACTGTGGAAAATATAAAGCTGCATAAGTTTACTACAGCTTGAGATGTAGGTTTCAAGTGGAATTACTTTTTTTACATAACTTTTAGTTCAATATCAATTTAAAGATAACCCCATTAATTGCAATTGCATTAGATCATAATGACTTGGAAGAAAAGACAAATAGAAAATGTGTTGTATTTAAAAGTACAAAGGCTGAACATAGCAGTTAACTTCCTTTACACTCAAAGTGTAATTTTGAACACCTAGCAATATTCCATTTGCAATTTTTTTTGTTAAAAACATATTACAGTTCTCCTCAACTAATTTTAATTATTTAATTCTACTTTCTACCACTCCCACCTGGTGGTGATTACTGATCATTTAACCACTTCATACACTATTCTTCAAACTGCCTTTGCAGCAGTGGAGTAGCTGAAAGTCCCATAGACATTTCAGGCTTCGAGACCAGGGGAACAGTTTCTTTTTTCAAAGCAATTGTTTCTTCCCTAAAACCATGTCTAAAAAGTGACCCTCATTCTTATGGGCAACTAACCTGTCATCCTTGCTAGAATGTTCTTGCTGCCAAGGCTACCACAACATATGGCACGATACAGAGCTCAGAGCAGTTGATAGGTGGTTTAGCTAGTCTACCCTGTGCTTGCACCTCAAGTGGAAGATGTGCTTCCTAAAAAAAGGTGTGGAGATATTGGAAATATTTATATGCCTATCTGGCCACAGTCAAGATCACAACATCTATGAACCATGAATAAGCATGGACCCATGGACTGAAGGAGGAAAAAAAAAAAAAAAAAAGAGAACCTTGAGTTAAAACCACATGAGAATATTTAAGATGGAATGTTAACCTGCTTTGACACTAGACATGGCAGGTAGTAAAGTACCAGAAAACTAACATATAATGTGCTAGTGAGTTCTGCAACTAAACCCAACATTAGTACTATATAGCCCAAAGAAATTGAAGCTGGAATTCTGGAGGTGCAAGTCTGCATTTGGCCAAAGCAAGAGTGGGGCACTGCTAAATGTGCCGTAGAGAGATTCCACCCAAAATAACAACCTCGATGTGGCAGCACACAAATTTCAAATACTGCCTTAAAAGCCCTGTACAACCAGTTCTCCCAGGCAGAAAACACATCCAAAAACACTGACAGAATTTTTTATATGATCAGCCATGGAAAACTGCCCAAATGATTTCAAGAGGGTGCAAGTGTTAGCAGACTCCCTTCAGTATATTCGCTGAGCCTAGGAAGGGAACCCTTGCAACAGTTCTTACAGTAATTAAATACGCCCCATACATTAAATATAGTCTCTTTTAAAATATTAAACCTTCATACTTAAGCAAGATAATCTTAGGATTCCATCAAATTTGTTTAGCTCGGCCAGTTAGCACTTCAAACTCAAAGCATTTAATTTTAAGCAATTAAATTCTTGGTTCTTTGTTATAACAATTTAATATAAAAGATATGTTCTGAATCTCAATGCAGTCAAAATCTATATGTCTGGTAATCATACCAGTATGACAGATGTTGGCCTGTGTCTAATATTTTATCACAAAGTTAGACATCCTTTAATATGAAGGATAATAACACGACTTACAATTTTATTTCCATCTACCTTTCTTTGTTTTTTCTTTTTCCCTTAAAAAAAAAATCTAAAAGTTCAAAAGAATGACATAACAGAATATATTTTTTAAAAATCAATAATAAAAATAAAAAACTTACAACTAATTTTCTTGTTTAAAAGTTGTATAAAGCTTTGACATTTATTATCTTTGAAAAGCTGAATATCAAAAATCTCTTCCAAAACCCAATAAAATCTTATAATTTCTATGATACACAATATTACAGCAAATAAATATTACAAAACATACACTGTATATTATAAGCCAGAAAGCACTTTTTTCAAACTGTTAAGAGTAATGCCTTCCGAGCTTTCTAACTCAGATCACTTAATGTACCTTCAAAAGCTTAGCAAACTCAGAAAATAAGATTACAACTTAAGTCTCTGCGCAGAACAGATTGTTAATATACAGTTCATTACTGTGAGCATGTTTTACACACATTTCTTTTCATGGTACTAAAGTGGTAAATTTTTTTTTCCTCTTTTCTAATTAACAGATTTACCATTCAAGAACAATAAAAGAAATATAAGGTAATATTACTTTACTGTTCCATTTAGACAGTATTTGCTAATATAATTCTCATGATAAATATGAACCTGTGCGTTTATCAAATCCCTAAGAAGATTATCTAAATCAACTCCCATGTAATTACCATTCACCATCTGTTCCACCAGGGCCTCAGCTGATCTGCTGGCATCTTGCAGTTTTCTGTACTTCTCAGGCTTTTCTCGCTGGATGGCCTGCAGCATGACAGGAAAGGTGAGTGTTTCAACAGAGGGATTTTGAAGAAGTAGGTAATTAATCTCAGGGATGTCTTCCGATTTCTTGAGACCATTTAACCTGTCATATTGCCCTGCCAGCCTCCCCATTTGCAATGAAAGCAGCAAGTACCAGATACCATCAGGAAGGGAGTCAGTCATAAAGTCAAATACATACACTGAGAATGAGAACGCAACAGAGTTGACAAATAAAAGACATACAAATTAAGAGCTATTCAAAGCCCAATATTTCAGAATAAAAATATATGTTCAACAGAAATTCCTTGTGGAAGAACAGATTTGCTCATTTCTCTTGGTAACAGCAAGAATTGAGCACGCTAACCAAATCACAGGGTTTCATAGCACACTACAGTATTGAAGCCATATACCATTTGATTGCTTACTTTATCTTTTTGATGGCAACCCTCCCTTCCCCCCTGTAAAATGCATATTAAAGTCGATGTCTAACATATAGATGAACATATATAGCAGACAACCATATATGAGCTACTAAGTAAGAATGAGAATTAACTGCAGAAGTAACAGAGACTTCTAGTTATGTATTGTATCTAATACACTCAGTTCACCTTCCGTACTCAAAAATTTTTCACCTGCATTCAGGCTAGCTGGTAATGGCTGGTAAAGGTTAGCTGCTAAAATGTCAGGGTATAGTAGGAATCTAACTTTCTCATTTCATTTTGGGTTTGTAGCAATACAGAGAGAAAGTAAAATCATTTTAGATCTGACAGCCCCTGAATGCTGTCTCATAATTACCATCATGAAGTCATTCCACTGATTTTAAACTAATTTAGTTCTACAATTTAGGTGTAATTCAGAAGCTCTAAATCAGAAGCCCAAAAAAAGACGCATAGGGCCACAGTCATTCTTGATACCAAAAATAAAACAGGCTATATACCTCCCAGAGATCCTGACTAACACAGCCTCCCATAAATCAGAGTTCTTCGCTTTTGCACACATACCAAAGGATATGCCGCTGCAAATCCTACATGATGTGTATGGGAAGATAACACACAACCCTGGTTACAGCTTCTCAGTCTGGCTGACCCCGCTAGGCTTCCTAATCACCTTGTTTATTTCCACAGCAAAGGTATATTCTGTGTGACTTGAGTCTTTGGGTGAAAAGGTTCCTTACAGCTGCAAAGAAACCTCAAGTAGGTTTCTTAGGTGTCTAAGAGTGCGTTTAGTAGAATAATCTTATACACTTACATTTGAAAATGTTTTTCGGTTTTTTTTTTTCAAAGATTGTTATCCTTAGAAGGAAGTAATATAAACACCTTTGAATAAACTCTCTTAAAATAACTTTTAAAGTGTGATGCTTAAAACTTCTTCAGTTTAATAGGCAGCAGCTCCCTGGAAGACTTGCCTAGGTGAGGAGACACTTGGAACTTTAAAGAGAGATTTTCAGTTAAATTCACACATTTTCACAGACTACTTATAACTGCTATTCATTTGTGTATATAGAAATGATTGAACAGCAGCCTTCCTAACAATATGCCAAAGCTTCTATCAAACACTTCCAATAATACAATTTTGTATAAATAAAACATATAAAGAAAGGATATTTAGAGAAGCATTAAGGATGGAAATATTTTGGATTTTATAAACATCTTCAATATATACCTAAATTATCATTCAAAGATTACTAAATTTAGTCCCAATGACTTAAAGATGACTGTATTAATTATTTATAGTTTTTGTAGGTCAATAAAATCTTCTACCATTCCACTGCACAACTTAAATGTTTTCCAAATTTTTAAAAAAAGTCTATTAATTCTCTGCAGAGTTCTAAAATTTCTTATAGAATCTTAAGTAATACTACTCTGTCTATAATGCCAGGTATAATTAGCATGAGTCTATACTACAGAGAACTCAAACAAATCATAAAAACACTAAAATATCCTGAAAAAAATTTGACTCTGTCTGTAACACCAGATGTGTAATTATTATGAGTACAAGTGTAATGAGCACAAACGAATTATAAAACAACCCTAAAGTATACTATTTTGAAATATAAAAATGATATGACACAGCAGCCTGTGGCAGTGAACCCTTCAGTGTCCAGAAATACACTGTGTCCAGAAAAATGTGGGTGTTGACCTCTCTCCTGAAAGATTAAAATACCCAGGTCCTGATAGAAAATATAAGCACTATATACAAAGCCCTTAAAAATAAACCCGAAAAATTGGTATATATCAAACTTTCTGTCAATTACTGTTCTCCATTCCTTTTTGTGTTAATTAGCATATATTAAGAAGATGAAGGTCTAACACTGGTTCCAGGAAGACATACACTTACACACAGAAAGCACAATGCTAGCCAAAGGGGAAAAGACGGTCCTCATACAAAGACAAATTACCTGATCTGGGGAGAAAGGACGAAATTCAGCCTAGTTACTTCATAGTACTAATCCCACAGTCCTGACATCACTCTGTACACACTGCCATTGTTTGCCAAACCTGCAAACTCTGTCTTGGATTTTAAGCACCTCAGAAAAAGGATTTCCATAAGCACATGTAAAGTGTCTAGAAACGAAGAGAGTAGGAGTCCTGTAATACCTCTTATTTACCTCTTCACCTCTGTTTTGTTCATTTTGTCCTTTACTAAAAGGGATAAGACTCTAGATTCAGGTTCATTCGTGACACAAGTAGTCTGGGATAAGCTTGAAGAGGTTTGTAAAGTTCTGAAACTCTTAGACTCTGTACATTGTAATCAACACTTTTTTTTTTTTTTTTTTAATTAAGAGTTGTGGTAGCTACAAAGTCACTTCAAAATATTTCCAAACACATAACTTTCCCTTTTTCTACTCTTTTTGTTTTCTATAAAAGATTTTTCAGAAAAAAATACACTAATATGAGAAAAAAGTTATCTTTACAGGCTTTCCTCCAGTCAGGGATTAATTCTCTTCTGGGCTATTTTGTAACTGCCACTGCAAATGTATAGTAGCCTAGTTTTAACTGATTGAACACCACTAAAAATTCATCTTTAGCTAAATGCCAGCTGAAGGTGAAGAGGCTATTTTCACAACGCTGAGCGTTTTATTTGACCCCGAGATTTTAGTTGGCAGTTAATGACTTCATAACCTTGAAAACACTGACGGTCTGAGGAATTCGGATGTTTCTCATATCAAATCAACATCCTAATCTGAGAGCTCTGTGAAAGGATGCACGGTAGCAGTACTCCCTGACCTCCTATGACTCTGACCAATGACCCCCAAGAGAAGGAGATGGCAACGTTATCATCACTGGCTCTGACAGTGATTCAGCTTTCAAATATCCAGGCCCAACAAAGCATGTCTGAAAAAGGTCACTAAAACAAAACGAACAAACAAGAATGGGGCTTTTGAGAATGCCAAAAGAACAAATTTAATTGTCTAGGATATCTGACATTTTCCCTTACAGCTGTTCCTTGTATGTTTACCTTTGATTCTGAATTTCTAGGTGCTGCTTCTTGGCTAACCAAAACTCCTTTCAAGGAGTTTTATTCCCAGCTTATCAATGTCTAAACTCAAATCTGACTTACTATTAAGCGAGATTTTCTATCTAGCAAGTTTTAATTTTTTACACCTGAACCTTCATATATTTGAACTTGCAATTTTGAAAGCTCATTATGGCTTACGAAAACCAAAAAAGGCCTGAGTCACTATTAGGTCTGTTTTTAGTAAAATATACATAATAACTGGAAAACAATAACAGTGTGATGCAAAATAATGATGTTTGCGGATTAGTATTTGGATGTCTTCATTATTTAGGAGTAGCAAGGTTGTTCCACAATGAAACTTCTATACTTATGGTACTCAGTCTCTCTGGACAGGTAAGGCAAATGCCTTTCTTTTGTAGCAGGGAAAGGCTATAAATATTTTTGCTTCTCCCCAGACATACAAATGGACTTTTTGTGCATGTCTAATATATTCAATCTACGTAATACATCTGCCAAAGGCTAATTTCCTGCCAGTTTCTGAAGAGCAGCTGGCTTAGCAAACACAGTCAGTGCATTTCATACAGCCTGCTCTTGGCTCTGTCTCCCCCAGACCTCCTCTCAGCTGGGATGGGAGTAGACTTTTGAACCTGATGAATCATCAATGATGGCAAAAGAGCTTTCCTTGTGGCTGTCATTTCTGAAGTCTGCGTCCCTCCATCATACAACAGATGCACTTCTGCTATATCATATGGAAGCGACCCCTCATCCAAGAAAAATGAGGAGTAAGCTGCCACAACAAGAAAAACAGTCATCCAACTAGTAACCTGTCCTCAAAAGAACAACAGAAGAGAAAGTCATTAGGAAAAGGCCCTAGGACTCAGCACCTACTGTGGCAGGCAACAAATGGTAGGTCTGACAAGCACAGGTGTTCTGTGTTACATCAGTATGTACATTGTCATATATGGAAAAAATAAATAATAGCCAGTAAGGGCCACATCAGACTTCTGTACAATGCATGTATAAGTACAACACTGAGGTATGACTAAGTCAGTACAATATGTCAATACAACACAGTCTTTTTCAATTATTACTAACATGTTTTCCTTTTTGGCATTTCATCTTTTTTATACATCATCTACAACTTTACTAGAGATTATAATATATTAAAACCCATACTACCTTATTTTCTAATGATTTGAGGCTCCTTTTGAGGGAATTAGAAACAAAAAGTGTCAACAAGCAACTCAACTACTCAAATCAATGAACTGGACAGTACTTCCTGACTACTGGTTTTATGGATGGAGACACAGCTCAGACCAGGAAAAGTCAGGTCTGGAAAAACTGTAAAACCTGGCATTTTAAAAACCTGGTTTTATTTTCTTTTTTGAAAAGCATGTACAAAGACTTCTATTAACTGAAAACCGTTCAACACAGAGTCCATGTAGCACTCGTCGAGTGCCATCTTTCAGAGTTCTCTCTATCAAATTAATACATGTAATCAGGATGTTTTCTCCCTTAAAACACCTAGAAACTTCTACATGTTACGTAATTTTCTCATTAAAACGTTCATTTTAAAAACAGTGATACGCTATGAAATCAAAACCAGCCTTGGTCTTTAAAAATATTTTCAGTGTTAATGAACGACACGTGTTCGTTTGTCTTATTTCTATTTAGAGTTACTGGTTTGTCTCAGATCGCTCTTGATACAAAGCGGATCGTTTTTCTGCACTACTTTTCAGTAAAGAAGCTGGAAAATGGTTTCTTAACCATTCAGTTATTCAATTTCCAAGGAGGTCAAAGAAACATCTGAAATACGTTCTGCTATCTGCAGCGTTTCGAATTCAAACTTACAATGCCCATGCACCGGTGAAATTCCACACTTCTTTTCCCTCCCTCCCTCTTCCTCCAGTATTATGTGTGTTTTCACCAACCTAAACGAGATCTGAACAAATGTGGTAGGTAGTGGCCTCCCAGCCCCAATGATCTTCCTCAGCATCAACAAAGGCAAGGCAAGAGCTGCTGGGAACTCTGGCAGGGACCAGAGGAGAGTCTGTGGTTCACCTACCTCCACCCCTTTACTTGCAGCGATCACCACCTCCTCGGAAGCAAAGAAAAGAAAGAAGGAGGAAGGTGAACCATGGCTCCTGGATCCTTTAATGTTTTTATAAAGTCTTAGAAACTGACAATATGAGGTGGAACATCATATTTGTTAGAGAGACCTGAAAGTGCAGGTACTCAGCATAATATGTAGGTCAAGACGTACTAATTTGCCACCCTTGAAATTGTTGTGTTCCTCAAAATAGGAATATATGACGGGGAGACAGGAGCATTTTCTTTGTATTATCATTCCTCTTTGTTTCTTTTTTAATTTTACCTACAATGAAGATTGAAGCACTCAGAAAACCAACCGTAAATCTATTTATGTATTACATGAACCCCATTACCCCAGTATTGAAGCATTTGAACCCATCAAATCTTCTCTGTATATTTGATCCTTTTTGCTGGTTTTTTTATATATTTTTTTTTTTTAATGCATATTTCATGTAACATGAAGTGGTGCCATGGACTAAATTCAGGAGATTACATTCTAATGGATACTTACTAGTGGTAATATTATGACAATATTAACAATTACATTAAAATTATTGCAAGAAAAATATGAATTAACATGATATTTTAAAATGTATATTTACAGTCACGAAATTCAGTGTTCCTCAACCTTATCATAGCTGATTTATGATGGACATGCATACAGTGAGAAAAAACAGCAGGAAAACTAACTTCAATACAGTAACTTTGTTCCATCTGTTTGTGTTCTAGAAGTATGTATCACCATATATTTAAATGAAGTTTCACAGTATACTATGATACTATAAGAGCTAATTATAAAAATTATTCTCCTTTCTCTAACTCAGCAAGACAGGAAATTTTGCATCTATCTACAAAAATAAAATATGGAAGAAAATTTGTAAGAGAGCTAAATTCAGAGTGTGTGAAACATATACACATTTGTTTTGCCAAAAGTAGAAAAAAACATTTTTGGTTCAGGCATGGTACTACAATAGAGTAAAAAAATAATTAAATAAAGAAATATATGTAAAGACTAATGATTTTCATATATATTTTACAGCACTGTGAAAAGAATTAGATACAGATTTTCTTTAGGATACACTAAAAGATGACACTTCTAATATCCTTCAATTTATGCAAGTATAATGTCAAACTAAGCTCTTAGTATAGAGTCATGGTGCATATTTAAGACGTAATATATAGACTTTGATTCAACTTTACCAAAGACTTTCACAAATCTAGAATACTTTAATTAAATATGAGTATGTATGAATATAAAAAAAAAGATGTCTGTATTCAGACAGCCTGCACAGCAATTTTGGTGCCAAAACCTGAGATTTACAGAAATAGTGAGCACTTCTAAATTTCTCTTGTACATATGGACAACCAATGCTTGTCAGCCTACATTTGAACTCATTTAAACTTGGACTTTGAAAGCACTTTGACAAGCTAATACACACTAACAGACATATATACGAGTACTTTCTCCTACATTGACTCTTTCTCTGAGATCTGAGAGATTGCCTTCCTTTCGATATATCGCAAACTCGGGACTCTGAAGCACTGCTTCTGAACGGGTCATCCAGCTATGGAGCTCTGTTGTATCCGAGTCAAACCTAAAAGACAGAGAAGTGCAATAAGACATCTCTTTTGCACAAAGTTTCTGAAAATAGCATTGACAGTAAACACGTTTAACTGGTTGTTTAAACAAGTGAATAAGCAGCAATTTCTCTAAACAAAAGACAGTTTTAAACCCCCCATATTTCATTAGATAGCTCATAAAACTATCGCACTATAATTTGGAAACAGAAATACTTTTTCATTTTTAAGATCGTGATTTGACAGCTGAACAGATGCAACAGTTTTCACAATAAAGATTCTAATTTTACAAGCTGATATTTTTGGAAGACATGAAACGAGTGTCTCTCACAGTGAAGAAAGTGTATCACAAGTCTTGTTGGCTCATCTGAGGATGTAAGTCCTATCTGGCTCACCAAATGCAGCTTTCATACCTGTAAGATTTCTGTCCCAGCTTGCGCTGATGATATTATGAAGGATATTCAAGCAGGAAATTTGACCATTAGACAAGAGTCTCTTCAAATGGACTCAAATTGTTGTAGAATGTAATTACTAATCAAAACCAGATTATAGTTTTCCTACAGCTAAAACTTTAGAAATGCAAATTAAGTTTTCCGACTCTCTGCATACTTTTTTTAACTAGTTTTTACTGTACAGCCTTTTTTCTTACTGTCTGGATTCTCTCTCATCATCTCCTTTAAAACTGATGCTAATCTTTGTTACCTATTCAGGAGGCAGCAGTTCAAAATGAAGGTTACCATATGCAGATATTTAAATCACTGACGTGTACAAAAATCAAATTGTGACTCAGTATCTAATGTAGTTTTTAAAACAAGAGGATTGAGACGATTTTTTTTTCTCAGTTGTGCTAAACTGCATTCTTAATTTCATTTCTTTAATGCACTACTTATATTTATGTCTAGTTTATAACTGGTTTTCCTTTTGTAGCAATACAATGAAAGAAATATAACAGCAAGACATATAAAAAAAAGAATCAGCTGTATCTTTCAGTTCGCTTTGTAAATATAGGTTGTATCATTTATATGCAAATGAGAATCTACTAACAACAAGAACTTGAATGACAATTACATCTTCGGAGAAATTAATTCTTTTATGACAATATACTCGATACATATAAGAACTAAATTACAAGGATGTAATTTAAAATCAGGTGCTACAGAAATCTACATATACAGAAATGAAAACAGAATACAAGTAAGTGTTCCACGTTTGATCTTGTATTTTTGCCTCCCTTTTCCTTCTCCACTGTGATCTTTGTGACTCCATTTAACAACATGGTGTGAAAGACTGCGTAGTAACAAAAGCAGAAGAAAGAAGAATCACACGCTGTCCTAATCCCAGCCCAATATTATACATTCAAATTATAAACTCTTAGGAATAATGTTGATAAAGCAATTCTCAACGGTACTATTTGAACACTCATTTAAATAGAAAAAATATGATTGTGAAATAATGAAAGGTGCAGAAATCTTAATTTTATAAAGAATTGTAAATTCAGAGGTGGAAGACAAAAGAAAATTCCCAGATGGTTCAGGGAATCTCCGTGCTGGTACCAGATTCTAATCGCTGAAATTGAACTGCGCTACCAGTTAAGAGCTTCCTACCTCAGCTTTATTTCTGATCCTGTGTGACATTAAATTAATTGTAATTCTTGAAATGTAACATTATCCTCTGTTCTGCATATAATAACTGCATATTTAATAAACATTCTCATGAAATTTTAGGACTAGGAGACAGCATAACTATAAAATCCAGTATTCACACATAAAACTGGAATACTGTATATTCAACAAATTGCAAGCATGAACTCCATATCTAACCCTACTGATTTCAGCAGAAAAATGATGAAAGTACGCTTTTGCAACTATGACTTAGGACTGTTCAACACATCTTAAAGTAGAGAACACCCAATTTTAAAGCTAATGGACTGGCTTACAACATAAAAACTAACAAATCCATAGAACTTCCTAATATAAAGCTGTATATAAATTATCTATATTCAAGATCCAATGATGATTGCTACATCGCTGCCTGATACAAGAATGATCAATGATGTGAAGTTCTACCAAAGTACTCTCTAGGACAAAGTAGAGTTCCTGAAGTCCACAGTAAGGAATACCTTAGGTTAGTTAAATTAGAGCAACTGCTTAAGGACTGTTATGTCACTTGAGAATTGCTGAGCTGCAGCAAAGCCTCCAAATCCAGTGTATACTTTTTTCAAAAAGATGGAGTAGTAATGCTGTACTGCCCTCTGTTTTCGTATCTGGTTCTGGGCTTGTCAGCAACACAGGCAAAGTGAGAAACAAGGGAACCTGTTTTAACAGTCAAGAAAGAATCTGGTCAGCCTATAGGTTCTCAACCACATGGGACTGCCACCCTCTCCACCTTCGGTTCTTCAAACCCTGTGAACATTGTACAAACCAGTTACCCAAAATCAGCAGCCCAGGTTAAGGAAAGTGCTGACACTCCCTGCTGCCAACATGCTCTCCACTCCCCGCTCTCCTCGTGGTCAGCAACTGTATAGGCAAAGTACACAAGAAAGGAATGACCGCTTCTTTCACCTTACTTAAATCTACGGCTAAAGCTGGCTCTCTCACTGCTGTCACCTATTGTGGCAACTCGGATGTTTTATAGCAGTGGCCCAAAGCAGCAGTAAACCGGAGAACATCAGACATCTGATAACAACAAAGATGAGTTTACTGTTCCCTCAGTACCAAACTCCCCCAGCTGCAGGCAAAATTGTATTACTTCTGGTGCTTGCTCCATTCTCAAACTGCAGGTAAGTAGGAGCAGAGAGACCAGCTTTCTGAAGAATAGCCTGGCCCAGGATGGATGCTGACAGAGCAAAAAGTTTACCAGCGATCATTTCTTCATCTCTTAAACAAAAGGACTAAGCCCCTGCCTCTGCAACATCCCCTTCTCACAGAGGAATAGGAGAATTTGGGCAGCTTTGATAGTACAACAAAATAATCAGGAACACATCCCATGGCCCAGAGATTCATCAGATGATGGTATTAGCCACAGCAGGCAGCGTCTTGACAGAGCTGATCTCAGATAACAGATTGCTCTGTCACTTGCAGTTTCTTCTGGAGATAAATATAACTCCACAAGCAAAGCCTCCTGCCCCAAAAAAAGGGCTATAAAGAGGGGGCAGAAAAGGATTAAAAAAGATGGAAGTTAATTCTAAGTAGCTTTTTTGCAGTACATAAATATCCTTAGCATAAAGACATTGTTCTATTACTTTGGAAAAAAAAAATAATAATTCTTACTCTTATGTTCGGCTTGCATAAAACCAGGAAATACAGGTAGAATATAGCATTTAGTCATTCCACTATGATTGGACATTTCCTTTCTAAGCACAGCTGCAGTTCCAAACTATATTACCTCTAGATTGATATCAAAGGATCAATATAGTCTTTAAATCTCCTAAGATCAACAATACTTTTGATATAAAAAAAGTAATGCAATCTTACCTTTCTGACCCAATAAAGTTGAGTGCATGTAGAATTTGTTAAAATAAATCCATGGAAGACAATAAAATCAAATAACTTGAGACAATTACTCTAAATAACTACATTACTTCAACATGCATGTTAGCTTGCTCCCCACCTAAAAATTCAATCTGCAGCAGAGGATTTGTTCTTTATGCAGCAATCATGGTTTAGTTTTCCAATTAGTCTTTCCTTCTGCTATTCCACAAGAGAGACACTATCTTTTACTGCTCTCACTGCCCTCTCTTGACGGGCCAGCACATGTCAGCTGAGTTTAAATACAGTCTCTTTTTACTCCAGAGCATGTTTGAAAAAACATCTTCACATTTTTAATCCATGCCATTCAAATTTTCGTGCAAGTCCCCCAAAAACTGATTTTCTAGATCATACTAAGCTATATGCCTGCTTCATATTCTCACTCAAAACTCTCTTGCTGAGATTACCACATATACTTGTTCAAAAATTATTCCATATTCGAGCTTTCCCTTCCTTTTCAGTATTAAATACATGATAAACCTTTAAGGCATTACACAACTTAGTTGCATTTTGGTTTTGGTTTTGTTTTCTCTGCACAGAATTTCTAACCCAAATACCCTGCAGAGTCTGATACTAGAGTCCTACTACAAGACCCCCCATCTAATCAAATACCTTCTGCAAACTATTAAGTAACAGCAAGTGTTAATTTGTTTATATTCCACAATGAAAAACAATGCAATTTTTATTAATAATCAAAGGGCTGACTGACTCTAAACCCTCCATCTGCACAATATAGACAATGGTATATTTTAAACTCTTAATTTTGCCTTTTTTTTTTTTTTTTTTTCTTTACACACACTGCCACAGGAAGATGATGACAGTGAAGTAATGCCCACACACTGATCTTCCACGTATTTATACAAACAACTTGAATGTTGTACAAGGTCCCATAGGCACACGAGTCACAAAGTACCCTGCCGTCATGTGGCCATCACGGTGTATAATCTTTTCTCTAAATTGAATGAATTTAATCTTGAAACTGCTACGATATTACTGCTACCGTGACAAGATAGTGGTTTCAGGACTTCATTCTTTCAACAGAGAGAAACTGCCTCAAAACTTCCTTTGCTCATTTGTTTTTTCCTTCCCTCTGTGAACAAAACCACACTGGGCATGTCACCACTGTGTATCTTGGGCAGACTAAGACCATTTGCCTACATATTGAGCTGGCAGGGAATGATACAACTCAGATACAACTCAGATCCAAGAACCACATACTGAATTACTGCATTTCCATGGCAGGACTGAAATGCCCAGCTCACCAGCAGTGCTCCTCAGCTTGTAGCTTTTCATTGCCTAGAACATGTCAAAGAACAACTTTTGGTATACAATGCCCATAGGCAGAATTAGTCTGTGATGAACTAAATCCCTGCTGTTTATCTTCCTCCTCTATATTTGTAGGTGATGAGCCATTGATAAATAGTCTTGTTCTTTTCTCCTAATTCAACAGCTTATTTGTCCTAATAAATATTTTTCCCTTCCTATTTTTT